CCCCCCCCCCACTCATGCGCCAACCTTCTCAGAATTATACCTAAAGTGAATACCTAAATCTGAGAGACAGGCTGGGGTGCTCTTCTTATGACATATGAGTTTGATGATACCTATTTTAGTTGTTATAGAAAGGCTTTTCTTGCCAGCTAGCCGTACTTCATCCAGGCAGATGAGGTGAACATATAAACGGCTGTGCGTAACTGATGACACACGAAGAGGAAGGGCTGTATACCCAACCTATACGACTTTGGAAACTTCTCAAAAGTAAATGTAATTTCTCCTTTATATTATATTATCTAGCAATATTTTCTGTTTAAGGTTGTTCTGAGGAGTCAGGCATGGGGATGGTGGCCCTGTCTGTTGTCTATGGATGTAGTCATTCATTCAATGGCTTAGTACTCTTTATCCCACACCCACATGTGCCAAGCATTGTTAGAGGGATGCAGAGAGAAATAAAACATGGCTCCAGCCCTCGAGAGAACTCACCACAAGCAATTATTGCTAATAATGATGAGTGCTAGCATAGAGATGTGGACAGGACAGAAGTACCTAATCCAGATTTGGGGGCAGGGGGCAGAAATATGCATGAGCTATCAGGGGCTGGCTCAGCTATATCTAACACCTGAGGAGGAGAGCTTAGGACTGGATGATTCAGAGGGCACGAGGAGCCTGAGAAAACTGTGTAGAGGAAGAAAAGGGTGAAAATAGAGAGGTGAGTGGTCCCACACTGCTATCACAGGGCACTCTCAGGAAGAAGTCCATAAACTTTGACTGACTGGCTGATAATACCTCTATTACTTGAATTAAATGAAGCACATTTTTCTTCTACAGCTTGCGACAGAACTCATGACCACAATGATGTTTTAGAAAGGTTAGTTTTGGACTTTAGACCTTCTGCTCTGCTAATCTACAGGTTGGGATCTCAGCCAAAAGTGACTATGTCCCTATAGGTATGGCATGGGGCACAATCCTGATTTATCATCCCAAAGAGTGTTTTAGACCAGGAGATGCTAATCACATTTTTGCCTAATGCCTAATACTATTTTCTTTCTCCCACAGCATTGCCCATCAAAACCTTCTAGTTACGTGAATGACAAATCAGACCTACATCCATTTCTTCATATTGGTTAGGCTGCATCAGGCCCAAAAAAAGCGCTTTTCCAAGCACTTTTCCACGGTGGCACTACGCCCAGTGCAGTCCTTGCAGCAGATGGAAGCTCTGTGTAAATGTGTACAAGTATGTGCACCAATTTTCTCTTTTTCTCTAGCTCTCCAATGAATGGTGACCTCCAGCCTGATTCTCATTCTCCTTTCATCCCCCCCACGGATTTGCCTACTGTGTCCACACTCCCTGGGCCTCACTGCAAGGCTTCCCTTAGAATCTCACAGGCAAAACTTGGGAGGCCTTTGAAGCCCCTCAGGGACCCCCGATGACCATAATGCTACTTGATTTTTTTTAAAAGACCATAGATATATGAAATTCTAAGTCTGGAAGGAGCTTTGAAGACTATTTAGTACAAAACTCTCCTTTTACAAATGATGAAATAGAACCTTAAAAAGGTGAAATATCTTCTTTACAAGGTTAGTTAGTAGCAATCCTGGGAACAGAGCCCAGATTTCTTAATTCTTGATCTGATGTTCTTTTTACTATACCATGCTACCATTCTCTAATGATTTCACTAATCTTTTAATTTATGGGGAATGCAAGGTAACTTAAGTTCCTCTGGCACCTCTATAAAAGGGGCCTAGGTGCAGGGGCATTAATAATGAAGTGAACCCAACACTCCAACAGAGAAACAAAAAAAAAACGGTCTGATATATAATGTCAATTCCCTTGCACCCCCCACATCTTCTTCTCTTCTCAGCTGTGGGTCAAAATTTGTCCCAAACAAGCTACCTGGCACCATAGCTCCTTCTGGTCTTGGGGCTTGGTTGGCCCATATGTCCCTGGAGGTTGAT